TTGCAAAATTATGGATACCGGTACTCTAAGTACAAAGGTACACTGGCACCTCTGAACACTTGTTCAGTGTGGGAGTGCTGCTCATCCTACAGATACTGAAGATGCAAAACTGTGATGTGCAGCCAACACACCTGTGCTGGTAAAAGCCCCAGCTTTTCACATGGACTTTGCCAAAATCAGTGAGAGGCAGAAATAAAATTTCTTCTGGGCAGCACTCCACAGACAGCACTTCAGCTTCTCAAGGCTGAATCTTGTCCTTGCCCCATAATTCAGCTCAAGAACAACAATTTCAACAGTGAATTTGGAGGCAACATAAGCTGTGCCTGGCTCTAAGCAGCATGTGATCTTAACAAACAGGTCAGTGCACCTCAGAGCTGCCACTCCTTCACTCCCTCCACCACCTCTAATCACACCTCACCATTCTCAGGAACTTCAATTCTCAGTGCTGACTTCTAAGCCTTATGTCTTCCTAAAGATTAATAAAACATTTGTCAGGAGCCCCCTTGCCTGGCTGGTGATGCTGTGCCTGGGGCACCCCAGGACAGGGCTGTTCCTCCTGGCTGCTGGGGAGCAGCTTATCAGCTTACACATGTGTGTAACTAGAAGATGTTGGCAGACAAATCTCTTTGGCAGCAACTATTTTGGAAACCGAAAGCCAGACTTTGTCATGACTGTAAGTCATGTGATTTCCCAGCAGAGCCATCTAGCAGAGGTGGCATTTCTGATGTCATGTAAGTGCTACTCAGGAGACAGTACCTAAACAATGGGGAGGGAGAAAACTGAGTTAGTATAAAATAAAACTTTGATGTTTTATGATTTAAGAAAGTCACTGTGAATATGAAATTTACTTGGAAAAATCCAAAATCTAATGGACTGTAAGGTCAGCAGTAATCAGCCTTAGACTACTGCTAAAATGATGGTTTGATTTCCTTGTGCTTCCATACTTTTAGCTACTCTACATTCTGTCAGCCTTATAGCAACATCTCTCACTTTTATGTTTTATGTTAAAAGAGGCCACAAGCCCCACAGATATCTGAGAGCATAATTTTGGTTATTGTGGTACCTAACTAACAACAAAAGGTTTAGATGACATTTTTTGAAGATTTACTAACCACTTGGATCCTCTGAAGTAGTGACAAACTATTCTGTAGAGCTAGTGGAACTAAAATAGCCATTGAAAGTGTTTTCTGCATAAAGATTGGAACTTAAATGAATTATTCATCTGACAAATTTATCATCTGACAAATCTGGTCCTTCATTGAAAATGTAATGCATTATTTGACATTCACTAGAACAAAAAGTCAGACACTAAATCAGGGTGCCAGTCTTTGGACACTGAAGTTGTATCTGGACTGAATTACCACAACTTATGAGGACCAGTCTGCCTCCAGGCACTACCATTAGTGTTTCAAACATGACGTTTCATCCTTGGATGGAAGTGCAAAATTCAAATTTAACAAACTTTTCAGAGTGCCACACTGGAGTTCTCTTCAAAACCTCTCTCCAGTGGGCACTGAAAGATTGGCAACATCAAATCTAACCAATTTCAAGAGCCCTGGAACTTTTCATGAATTTTGTAGGGTTTCAAACATACTTCAGTAAAAGTTCAGGCACATACTAGTTTAGAGTCCCAGCCTTCATAGGTGTCTCCCATTTTAAGACACTCATGTAGCATCTGCAGCCCAGTAAAGTGAACACAGATGGCATGACAATATCCTGTATGCAAAAACACATGCCTGGCATTTCTATATGCAAGCTCAGCAAGTAATTATCCATAACTGTTCCCCCTCTTATCCACAAGATGTGTTTGTTTTGTCCTTTGTAGAGGAAGATCTGTCCTCCTCTGTGTCCTTATTTATGCAGGAAAAAAACATCCTGTGTCTGTATCGTACGAGAAAATGAAGGTATGAGGTGAAAAAAGCAAATAAAAATAGCAATTTTGCAAATATTTCCCTCTATTCTAAAACACACTTGTGCTTTACTCTGCTGTTGAGGCCACAGGCAAGCCCAGCAGCAGCATTTCTCTGGTGATTTGTAGTCTCTGGACTACTAAACCAAGGCTGTTAAAGAGGAGCGAGTGTGCCTCAGCTGGACTAAAATAAAGATCATTAGCAAGAGCCTCCATGAAAGGGCAGTTATGATTTGGCTGTGGTTCCAGCAGCTGTAAAAAGCACAAGCACTCCAAGTCTGTGTTGCTGCTCAGACAGGAGACAAGATGGCCCTGTCCACAGGAAAAGTTCTGTCAGGAATAAGGGCCAGCAGCAGAAGAGGACATCAGTCTTTTACAGTACTGCTCTCCAAGAAGGGACACAGTCATCATATGGGAAATATTTAGCTGTTACAAGTATACAGCACCTCCTTAGCTTCCTATCATTCCTATCATGTGTGCTAATAGCCAAAAAGGTTCACCAGCTTTCCACCATGGATTATGTCTATGAAGTATTAGCCACTCCATCCCAAAGCATCCAGTGAAATCTGTATAATTGTCCCCTCAAGTGCTGGCCTGACTCACTGCCCTCTGAAAAGGAGCAGAGGTTATTACAGTGCTTAGAGCGGCAGAGGTTAAACATTACCTAGCATCTGAATTCTGCTCTCTTGCAGGTAAGGCTGTATTTCTGCAGCAGGCAAGCAGTTCTTTATCTCCTCAATGCAACAATTACTACAGGTTTATCAAGACTTGATATTTTTATAGTGTCAGTGATACCTAAACATAAATCACACGCCTGGTCTGCAATGCTACTGTTGCTGTCACTGTATTACATGCAGCAACACATTAGTTTTGTCAGAGAGTTCATAATAGCACAGCAAATTTTGTCTTCAGAAAAATGTTATTTTACCTAAAAGACAGCATGTCAGGAGTAACTCCGCTAAACCTGCTCTTTGGTGCCCCAGGCTGTAAGGAATGCAGAGAGCATCCAGCCTTCGCCTTCCAGTGGCTTTTGCTGTAAACTGGGAACCCATGAAAATTTTTGAGACATTTCTAGGAATTAATATGAAATATTTCTAGTTTGTGTCAAGTTGTGTGGCTTTGTGACAGGCATTTACCATTAGGAAAACTACTGTAGGCAGGAAGGTATTTAATCCATTTGCTTATGTCAAACTTGTCAAAAACAGATTATAAAATTGCTTTGAGTCAAATACATTTTTTTTCAAGTTCAACCAAATCTTGTTTGGTTAAGTTTGTTGTTTTTTTTTTTTATTATTTTCTTTTTATTCTTAGCTATTATGTCTTTATTTTCTTAGTTATTTTTAGGTTCAAGCTAGATTATTTTCAGACTCTGCTCTGATGCAGATATGTTGACTTAAAACAATTTATGATTTCTTTGATTTGCTGTTTCCCAAGCTGATTTTTAAATCTAAAAACCAAACAAATTTTTCCCATTATTCCCAACTTGCTGTTTCCTGGCTTTTTGTGGCATCACATGAGCGCTTTAGCACACAGTGGTGGGAAAATACAGTTTCCAGTAATAAAGTGCTTCTCAGCCCCACCCAGTAAAAACATTGTTTTCCACAGCTGGGGCTAATCTAACTATGAAGTCAACTAAGAAGGCACAGCTCCCCGGCACTGCTCATCCACAGAAGGAAGTGTTCCTCTTGGTCCAAAGCCCTTCTGATTGACTATCTTGTTGTTTTATCCAGCTGGGGACCAAAATTGCAAAATGCAGAGAGGACAAAGGCAGATTAACATCAGAGATTAACATCTCAGGGCTAAGAGAGTATGTGAAGGTAGAAGCTGCTTTTTTTTTTTAAGTAGGTAACTCTTGCAAGAATGTGCCGTGTTGTTGCATTTATGTATGGCAAATACAGCACAGCAAAGTGAATAATTCTTCATCAAAGGTTAACAGATGAGGGATTTGAGCTGATGATTGAATTGTATCTACAATTATGGAAAAACCATAGACTAAACCTCAGATGGTTCAACTTAAGAGCATGTCACAAAATTTTTAAAAATTATTTTGAGACCTAGCTGGCTCCACATCTTTTATTTCAAGCCCTAGGTCCTTGAGGTTAATAATCCCTTCAATGTTTGCTTCTTTTGGCACTGGTAAAACTGATGCCAGGAGGCAGCCCAATTGTGCAGAACCTGCCCTGGTAAAGCAAGATCACACCACAAGGGACAGCATGTCCTTGAAGGATGAGATCATAACTTGTAATTCATACATTCTACTCTACATTTTTAATGGATATCCTGAAAAAACACCTCCTGCTCCCCCCCCCCCCAAAAAAAAAAAACTTAAATAATGAAATAACTCTGCTCTGCAGGTCAACAATTTTTTTACCCATAAAATGCAAATATCACTTGCTAAAAACTAGAAGGGCAAACTGATTTCCTGGTAGCAGTGAGCTAGCAAGAGAGTGCTTCTTGTTCCCATCATAGGAAAAGCACAATGGTGCTGGGAGTGGACACTTTCAGAAAGGTTTGGCTGTTTGCAGCTCCTTTTAGCTCTGGAAGCCAAGTATTGCCAGAATCGTTAAAACAAAAAAAAAATAAAAAAAAATAAAAATAAAAATATAAAAAGCAAGACACTGAGTAGCAGTATCTGAAACTCCACAAGAAGGAATCCCAGGAATGCCTGCATTCAGCAGCCTCTATCAGAAGTTCTACTTGTTTTTTCAAAGTGGATCTGCCCAGAGGAGTGCTGCTATTGCAATTAGCTACTTTTCATCTGGAGCATCTCCCACCCTTAGGGACCGCATAATGCAGTTCAACAGAGGGACACAGCAATAGCAATAGTGTGTTTCAACCACAAATACTTTACCAATATTCAGCAAGGTGTTCAATTTATAGCTGGCAGCCATTTGTATAAGGGCAAGGGGACAGAGGAAACATCATCTTGGCTTTATGTCACTGCAGCAGATTTATGCTTCCAGTAAATTTAGATGCAAACAAGAGCTGGTTACTCCTAGAATGGGAGAGTCAGCCCTTCCTCTTTTTAAGTCACTGAGTCCTTTTAAGATCAAATGCAACTGTCCTGCACATGTGACCACAGCAGCTTCCTTCAGAGCGAGTCCTCACTGCTGTCAAATGTTGGATTGCTATGGCCTCCCATATTTCCTTCTACTGTTACTGCCACAGAATCTGAAAAGAAGGTTTCATTCAGAGGTGGCCAGGCTGAGTCCTGCTCCAACACCTGCTGCAGCCTCTTGTAGTGGCTCTTTGAGCGATACCGGAATGTCTTTTTCAGAAGCAGCCACAGGGGTCTGTTCTCAATGACAGCTTCCTGTAAAGCAAAAAGAGGGTTTAAGAGGACCTGGACAGCCTTTTACTCTTCATCCAGAGTAAAAAGAGGAGACCCAGATCTCCCATCTGCTCTGCTCATCCATGTCCCTTAAACACTTTTACTGACCACATTTCAAAGCAGCTCCTCCAGAGTTCTCCACCAGAGAACTGTGACCAGTTCCTCCTAAGAGTCTTCAGGATCTGAGCAGAAAACACCACAGACAGCCCATATTTTTCTAGCCTGGGGCAGGGCCTGGTAGGTCCCACTCACCAGAGGAAAGAAAAGGTAGCCAGACCTTGCATTCCCTTATCATTCAGATGGAGTACTTTAAGAAAAGGGAGCAAGGGTGAGGTAGCAGCTAGATAGTCCCAAATTGGGCTGAGGAGGAGGGAGAAAGAGCAAGACTAGACCATTTTTCCTCTCCAATTAGTGCTGACCAGCACATCCAATGATGCATACCTCGACAAGGAAGGACACAGCCAATGTGACTGCAAGCATTCCCACCATGGAGATTCGCCATGTGGTAGGGGTGCAAACAAGCTGGGGAAAAAGCAGGAGAAGCATTGCAAAACATTGCCAAGTTCACCATGTCCCTGAGTGCCACACTACAATTCTTTTAAATACTTCCAGGGATGATGACTCAACCACTTCCCTGAGCAGTCTGTTCCAGTCTGTAACCCTTTCACTTAAAACTTTTTCTCAATCTCCAGTCCAAACTTTCCTTGGCACAACTTGAGACCATTTCTTCTCTATCACTTGTTACATGGGAGAGAAAAAGTGGCTATAACCTCCTGTCAGGTAACTATCTCCCCTGAGCCTCCTTTTCCTGAGACTAAACAAACACAACTCACTCAGGAACTCCTTACATGACTTGTGCTCCAGGTCTTCAGCAGCTTCATGTCATAAAAAGCCAGACCCCCAAACGGGCTTACCCTGCTGATGAGCTAATACTGCTATTTGTCTTGAGGAATTACTGATAAAGATGCTATTAAATCTATGATGCAGTAGAAAAAACAGAGAAAACCATTCTTTAGAACTGCAAGAGGAAATCTAACTGCCTTTTAAATTTCTAATATTAAAAAATAGTTCAAGCTAAGTATTTCAGCCCCAAATCCAATTCCAGCTTCCCAGAGATGGGACTGGCTTTCTGGCTGTAGCTGAACTGTTTTTGGAGATGCCAGCTCAGATTGGCAGTTTCTCCAGGGCTAGGCAATTGCAGAGGATTTTATTGCTTCCTTTTCTCTTCTCGGCAATTCCTGCAAGATTCCCTCCAGTCTGCTCGGGCTGGGAATTTTGCAGTTCAGCCCAAAAGCATTTTATCCCCTTGCAGCTGCAGTGCTGAAAAATGTTCTGGGCCACCACCGTCCACAACAGGACGATGACTTGCTTTAAAGTGCCACCTCGTGGCAGGTTCTCTGACTGGGTCTGCCTGCTGAGCCGGGCTCTGCAGATAGTTACAGGCAGCAGTGGTAAGTGGGCTCTTTGACATTTAAAATCGAGACTCGGACTTGATTTTAAATTACTATATTTGACTATCTTTCTTTTTGCAAATTCCATTAATCCCATGTCTAAACCGACTTACTAACTGACATGCAAGCATACAGGACTGGAAGCTGCACTGTGTTCAGCACTTGTGACTCAAAGCCACTGCCCTGTTTGCAAATGTACAGAAAAAATAGCTGTGAGGTGCTTTTCTTGTTTTGTTCCTGTGATTCTTACAGCAAGACTGTGAGAGTGTCACAGCAGAGGAGGTTAACATCTTCCAGCCTCAATGTAGTAATTGTCAGCTCCACTGACAACCCCATCCTTCAGCTGATGTAGATCCTATCCTTCCCTCACATTTCCCTTGGGATGGATTTGCACAAGACAACTCCCAGCTTGCATTCTGCCAGACTACCTAAGTCAAGCCTTATTGGTATTTATTAATCAAGGATCAAGACAGATCCTCTCTTGCCATGGCAGCCCCACTAGTCTTTCCCTACAATTGTTCTAAACCCAAATCCTGCTTTGGGAAACTGCAGGCTCTCTAAAATTTAAATGGGAAGCTTCAAAATATTGGGGACTGGAACTAAAAGCTGCTCTGAGTGCCAACTGGCAGATTTTGACAAGAGGATTTTGTTCAGAGTAGCACAGCTTGAGAAACACAAGAACATGGTGCTTTATTTTAAACTTGCAGAGCCCAGCCCTGTTCTGCTCGTGGCTTCACAAGCCACAAACATACCACACATAAGCTTAGTAATGTTATCTTCTGTTGCTTGGACAATGTGCTGAAACAATCAAAATTACATGTGTAGCTGTCCCGCTGAATGCACAGATATTAGTTTGGAGTCACTAGATTTCCAGAAGTTTCTACAATCCCATCATCTAAAATCTACCTCTTTAAATATGATTTGTCTTTAGAGGCGCCATGTCTCCCTGCAAAAGTCTGTGCCTCTTCTTAAAACAATCCCAGTGTGCTTATAATGGACTGGCAGTAGGAAGAAAATCCCCTTTGGAACAATACTCACATCCATCTTGGAGTAGAGATCATCAATGTCAGCAAACACCAAGAAGAGGCAAATGCCCAGCTGCACTGTGAGCACCAACATGAACACATCTGAAGGGATAAGAGCAAAGAAAGAAACCCACAGCTTTACGAGCAATCTCAGATGTTTGCCTTTACTATAGAAGACTGCAATATTTTTCTGTTACACAGTCATCAAAAGAATACATGAGATAGAAAGGAATTTTCAGCAAAAGAAAAATGAACAGAATAAAACTCCACCTTTACTCAATCAAGTGGCTATACATGAATGTGGGGCAAGAACTGTAGCCACAGATTTAAAACACCAAATGGGTATTTTGAACATTTGATTTGACCTTTACATCTGAGAAACTTCATAGCCTTCCAGTGAGTTCTCTCTCTGATCACAGTATATCCTGTGACTCAGAAAAACAGCCAGGATATAGTCTTGATTTTGCTAACGTGGTTAGGAATGCTGCCTTCAACTTCAGTGATCAGTATCTTTTTTTGCTCTTGATCAGGATGTAGAGAGTCAAAGTAATGGAGAACCTATTGCCTTCTCCATCTGTAGGTAAATGTTCCAGTGATGTAAATTAATTTTCTCTTCAGCTGGCATGCACTGAACGTCATCCTCCACCCACTCATTTGTGTTTTGCCTTGTTCTGGGAGACTGATGACCCATTTTTCTGCTCTCTACAAGGATCGTTCCCTCCTCACTATTACTATACTGAAACATCAAAGCCATGAAACCTGCAGCATTATTGTAACTCTTCAATAAATTAAAAAAAAAAAAAAAAAAACTGAAAAAAAGAGCTGAAGAGAGTTCTGTCTAAGAGCATGCTGCAGGATTTGTCCCAAACAGAAAAAGAACAGCTCTTCCAACTCACTGTATCTTCTGGAACTGTCACAAACATATGTGCTCATCTTCCCTTCACATGACAGTCTTTCTCCTGATTTTTTTGGCTGCCATAATTTTGGTCAAGTTTAATTTTTACCTATTAAACTGACCTCCCTATATAAGTTGACTTATATATCATTCCTTCTCTCCCCATACTTACAGTTGGTGTAGATGGGTTGCCTGAAAGGCTTTCCCTTGGAAAACACTAGTGCTACAATGAGGCAATTGATGGTACTAAGCAACCACACTGTGGTGTTTTCATAGCTCTTGAAGCCATTGTCTATTTGCTCATGGGCTCCATCTGTCACCCCATGGAGCCCCAGGCTGGAGGATGAATTCCTCTCATGGTTGTTCGCTGACAGACAGGCACTGAAAAAGAGTGTCACACTGCTCAGGGAATGACCATTGTCCTGGTTATTTCCCCCAGCTTCCACTGCTAACTATCAGAAATCCTCCCTCACAGCCATGATATTGGTAATGCCTTCGATCTCACCACTGGTTGAGCTCGATGAACTTATTACAGCTTGAGCTCAAACCTTGTCTCTCCTGCAACCAAATCCTCCTCTCTGTGCTCAGCAGAAGCATTCTCACCACATGAACTGTGTGTCAAGGTTGCTGGAGAGCTTAGGGACCTCAGACAACACTGGTTAAAGTGTTTGCACCCTGTGGGTAGCACAGGATCTGCTGCAGCTGCTCATCAGACCTGCGGTTCAGCTGACAAATAGTTTCATGCAGACCTGCCCCACTAGGTCAACCCTGTGGCATCCAGAGTCCCAGAAAGGGGTCCTACCTGTGTATATTGGTCTTGGAATACCAAGGCTGCTCCTGGACCACCACAAAGCCGAAGATCTGCATGCTGAGGCTGAAGAGGATGTTAAGCACCACAGAGAGCAGCAATGGGGGTGAGATAAGCTGGCTTGGAGGCCTGTAGGGGACCAGCTTTGGATAGGCACGTGTGAAACTCACTGAAATATGCACAGATGTGTTTACTAGTGTATCCAAAATACAAGCAGTGATGCTGTGTAATACTGACTGTATCAATGGCACTTTTGCAGTCTGTAATATTCTTCATAAAACATACAAAGATTGTAACAAGTACAAAACACAGACTTGTTTTCTTACAAAATCATATTGACACAGAAGAGGTTAATTAATGTCATCTATCATGAGGTATTTTTGAAAAAAAAAAATCTTGGCTTTTTATTTTATTTGGCTACTGTCAGGCCAAGATTATGAACATATACTTATGCTCTTCTGTTCTCTTTCTGTCACTTGTCAGCTGTGTCTTGGGATTCTTTGCTGCCTGTGTTCTGTTCATCTTCCTGAACTAAACACCTAACCAGGTTATTTGAGCTGGAGAAGGACAGCATTACCTGACACAACAGGTGTTCCTCTGTTCTTAGGGTTAACAAAATTATCCAGACTTTGAGTAAAAGAGTTATGCACAAAGCTTTGATGCAATTCCAGATAAACTACTTACAGCAATGTAGCTTTTGGCACCCAGTGTTGTTGTGGCTTTTAAGGCTTGATTTCATCAAAGTCTTTCCCTGTTGCCTGTGTTCCAGCAAGGGTGGAACATACCAGGATGTGGTTTTGCTATATACTTTTCCTGGCCCTGTCCTTGCCATTCATGCTTCTAAAACTCTCCCTGCACTTATTCTGTCTCAATAACATTCTCTTTCTCTTTCTGCCTCAGCACTGGTTTCCCCTCTTACTCTTGGCTTACAGCTCCCTGCTCTGTAGTGTCTGACATCTGTCATTTCTTTCTTCTCTATTTTCACCTCTCTTTTCTTTCAGAGCTCTGGTTTACAGCTTCAAATGTGAGCTGGACTCATAAAAGCTAATCTCTACTTTTTCATTTGGGTGTGGAGTCAGGTGTCTTCTTAATCTACCTTCCTAAATCAACAGGAAAGTGCATGAATAGACTTTGCACTGCACTTGCTGTGGGTTTACTCCTTGGTTCTAAAGATGGCATCCCCCAGTTAGCAACAAGCTACATGCTCAGCAAATGCACCACTAAGTACTTCCCATCTTTAGGGCTTTTTTCTAACAAGACCCCTATTCTACTAATCCAAACATCCTGTATTCTACATAGAGGATGTTTAGTCTGCAGAAAGCTTGGCCTCCATTTTCTTTCTCTATGTACAATTATGTACTTCCAAGGAGGAGAAAAATATTTGAGATCATTCTCTCATTAATACATAGGATGACTAAGGGGCTTACTTGTCACACCAATTACAGTGGTAATAGCCAAATCTTGGAACAAAAACTGGTAATTCCCAAAGGCATTTAGTTGCTGAAAAGAGGAAAACAAAGAAGAAAATCACAAATCAGACATTTGCCATGGACATGTTTCTATCATCTCCAGAAAGCTGTATTATATCCATGGAGCTACTGTCTTTGTTCTGAAATGCTGCTCTGCAGATAAGGAGACCACACACTTTACCACCCTGCCAATAGGTTCCTCACCATTTGGCCTGTGGTGAATATTCTCATTTTGCACATTATTTAGACTAACTACACTTTTAGTTCACTCCAGGCAACAAAAATAAGAATATTTGAATAGACTGCTTTCTCACTGCTGGGTTATTTCTGAGCACAAAGCCCTCCTCTCCATCTGGGAGAAAGCCATGAAAAAGTGGTTTAAGGCACTCCAGGGGATTTGCTTACTGTCAAGCTAATTCATGCTTTAAATGCTGAATAAATTGTAACAGCATATGCTTACAGCAGATTCTTCCTTTTCACAGACATATGCCCTCATCCAAAGCACCATTCAGTATCTCAGATTTCTTTCTGCCTGGCTTGGATCTTGAGCCCTCTGGCTGAAGTTAATGGGAAGAATCTTGCCAGTTTTCTGCTGAGGGTACAGGAGGACCATATGATCACACCACAGAAGTTTGCAGCTCAGGTAAACGTAAATCTCCATCTCCCAGTTTCATGTGGTTTTTATGTCCTATTTCTCCTACAAGGAAATAGTAGCTTATCCAGTTCCAGCCAATGTGTTCCCAATACATACCCAGTAAAGCAGGAGAACACCAAGGTACTGAATTATGCTGTACAGTGCCATGTACTTGAACATGCAGAAGGAAGTGACAAGAGCAGCACGGCCTTCCCTGTGTGAAGGCACAAATAAAGGACAGCAATTAGGTGGTGGGGCTGTCCTGGTGCCAGTTTTCTCAAAAGGCTCTTGAAAACAAGGCATGTGTCACAAGCAGAAAGGCCTCTAACAGTATCTTGCTGGGAGGTGAAATAAATAAAATCTGACCTAAATGAAAGTAAAGTCATCACTTGCAGATATCTTGTTCCATTAAATAGGCTTGATTCCAGTCACCTGTAGACTGCCATTTACCTCAGCAATTTTTTCTGCTGACACTAATAGTGTAGGTAACACTCCATATGAGGAAAAACTTGCAAAGCCAAGCATCTGATCACTTAGCTCAGAACTAACAAGTCCTCTCCTCCTACAGTGAACATGCAATATCCAATCAGGATAATGCTCTCACCCTGGCTACTCAAACACTCCAGTAAGCAAAATCAGGATCCTGGCATAATAGATACCATATTTTAGTAGCATAATGTATCAGAGGTAGGACCTAAAATTTGTGTACAGGTTGGCTGATGGACATTTGATTCATCTTTATGGAGCATTGTTCATTTTGTTCTTTCTTTTGCATTTAAAATACTTTTGATGACAGAAACATCAATAGTAAATACCCTCCTCTTGTGATAATTAATGTCTCTTACAGAAATTTCAGATAGGGACTAAGCAAATGGCAATTTCAAGGTGAAAGACATTTATTTTTCTCTAGATATTCATATTGTGACTCGGTGGGAACACACAAGCCTAATGTTTGAGAGGAGTGGGAACTTTCTTCTTTATGAAATAGGAAGTAAAACCCATGCTTACCTGATTAGCTCTGGAACACAGGCTATGCTGGGCGTTCGGGATGTGAAAGGTGAAGCCACAGACGCCTCCTGCTCCGACAGTGATATCCCTGCATGTGCCACTTTCAAAGCCTGAAAGTCACATTCCTCCTCAGTGCTCACCAGAAGACACAGAGACTTACATGTCAGCCAAGCAGTGACCCCTTATTACAGGATGTGTTCTGTGGCAGCAGTGCCTCTTCACTCCCTGGGTGTGTTCCACCCTGAGGGTTCCTCCAGTGAGATGCCAAGTCCAGGGAAAGAATGGGGATGAGAGCATGGGAAAGTTCATTTTCCACAGACTCCACATCCATCCACTACCTGTGTAAGACAGGTTTGGCTCTGCCTCCTTTTTTAGTACTTGCTTGTTCCCACACTTCATGCAGCTAGTCTAGGTTCTCTGCTTGCTCCCCCCAGGAGAATCTTCTGGTGTTTTTTGCAAGGAAAATGAACCTTGCAAAAGACTGACTGGCTCTTTAGTCTTTGAGATCACAAACTGCAAAAATCTCTGCCTAGGACAGCTCTTGCATGGAAAGGACCACACAGTGGGATCAGGTCTAAATCAATCCTGGTGATAGTACAGCTGCTCTATGAATAAGTGGCACACTCCCATCTCCAACATGTGCTCAGTTTGGAATATTCTACTGGCATTGCATTAATTTCTCATTTTTAAAATATACTGTAAAAACATTTCACTTACCCCACAGTCATTGGCTCCATCTCCACACATGCCCACAAAGTAACTTAAAAATAAAGTGATAAGGCAAATGAGGAATCAGACACTGCTCCATGCACGTAATTTATACAAGTCATACAAGATTTTGTTAAAAGCCTTTCTAGAAAGTTAATGCCTGTCTGGCCAGACAGCAGTTGAGGTGCTCACAACTGCACACAACCAGGTTGATAATCTGAAATGGCTTAAAGTTCACCTAGCTCTAGAACAAGGCCTGGGAGCTAATTAGCTAAAATAAGGGTGAGGATCTTCAAAAGGCTTGGGAAAGAGCTGAACAACAGGCAACAAGATGCTTATGACTCAGAAATATCTCTATATCTATATCACTGTGACTGTGAACAATCCAGACTGCCCTGCCACATTTTATAACCCATCACACTGTAGATGTACAGAGCCAGCAGTAGCACTGTAAAATGGCAGCAAGCTCAGAAAAGCTGCAGTTCTGGGAGAGATTCTTAAAAGTCTTGGGGAGACAAATGTCAATCCTCGAGGCCCAGAGAGAAGTAAAGATGAAGGATGATAGGAACAAAAAAAAGCCAGGACCATTGAAATATTTGATCTTTGTCAGGTTGCCAAACCAGAACTGAGTTGAGTGTCTCTTTTTTAACAGACTTTTGGAATTTAATTGCCAGCTTGCAGATGTGTGAAGGTTTTGGTTTTGTGAGTTTCACAAAACTCTATGCTAGACAAAAGCTAGCTCTTACTGGACTCTTTTCAAGCCTGGAAATTCAACAAACAATTTCAAAATCATTAGGAACTTACTCCAGCTTTTGAAACTCTTCTACAAGGCTGGATTTCTGACTAGGAGACATTCTAGCAAAAACTGTTCCATTCAGCAAGAGCTATAAGGAGAAAAATAGGAAATTGTTTTTAAAACACTTGAAGTAAGTGACTTCAGTAATAATCTGAATTTAAATCACCAAATATCACACTTATAAACAACTGATTCTAGATTCTGAAGCAGGAAAGGCTGATGATCAAAGATAAAGTGGATCTTAATAAATATTTTGAAAAAGTAACAATGACAATAAGGGCAAGAGGCCTGGTATGCCATTTGAGTTACCTGATGAACACAGATTGCCAGGCAGTTATAAGAAGAGAATCCATGAGAGTATCCTGTCCATGGAACAGACAACCTATGCTGAATTGCACCATGTAGAATATCACATTTTCTCCTGTTCTCCAAAACAGGTCAGTGCTGTACAAGGGGTAGGGATATGGGCACAAATGTTTTAAATCATGTCCTCATACCTTAAGACATGCCTGCTCCTCTAATGTGCAGAGAAAATTACAGGTATTTTCAGATCCTTCCCCATATAATAATATCAGAGATTCATTCAGCCCATAAATATTTCAGTGTTATAATTGTTCCCAAAGATGTCCTGATACAGGTCTCTTCAGCTAATTGGACTGGGACAATTATATCTCCTGAATGGCAAGGCTACTCCAGTTACATAATCCAGATCTTACCTTTGGAAGTAAGTGCCTGAAATGCTGTGCTACAATTTGGTAAGATTTTCCATTCATGGCAAAATGATACTGGCCTGATCCCAATGCCAGCCTGATTCCTGGCTCAGTCTGATTGTCATCCTCCTATAAAATGAGACAGAATGAGTGCTGTGCCCAGGCCCTCGAAAGATACTCTGCATTTGCACAGACACTACTACAGACAAAGTAAAGGACATACCATGAAGAGGGTGTTTTGAAGGCTCTGGGAGACTTGGATTCAAGCCCCCTTGCCTTTGCTTGGATTTGTAAAGGGATTGAGGCATATAATGCCAGTAACTTAAGTGTTAACTGGGTGTTCGTTGCATGGATTGTTGCATTTGGTAGAATTCATACAACAGTACCAATCTGGTGGGCTGCACTGGAAATGAGAGGGACTAAAGACAGCATATGTGCACCACATCTAAGGAAGTCTTTGTGCAGTGAAACACAAGGCACAAGTTGCTCAGTCTGAGGAACCACTGCAGATATTCCACACCATCTGCCTGACTCTGTGCTTCACAGAGAAGGGTCAGCACCTTCAGACTAATTCTTCAGGGAGAAACTAACTGGTCTTTTTCCCCAGCTTCTCTGTGGAGAAGCTTCATTAAATAAATTTCTTAGCCTGGCTTACCTATGATTCACTGTGTATATGCAACTTCTCAACAGTGGGTCTGTGTTTTAATTCTGCAGGTATGGGAAAGTGCTAACACTCTACCTGCTTGAACAGGGCTGGTTCATTCAATGCAGCTCCACAGGTTTTAAGTCCACATCTACACCATCAAATCTTGTAGGAAAAGCAAGCATTTAAACTGGCATCAGCTAAGCATGAGGGCTAGAGACAAATCTTTCTGGGATTTCTGCAAATCTGGTCTCAAACCCAGCTAAGCAGTTAGCAAAAATGTGTTCCCAGGATAAAATGCTAGGAAGTAAGCTCTAGGGGAGCACATTTTTATAAAGATCCCCTCTTCATAAACACTCTTCTAGCACATATTCTGGCGGTGATTGGCAGTTCTCTGTTATACTACCATAATCCCACTCCTTGTTTAAAGCATTCCATCTTAGTTGGTTTTCCTGCTGCACAAAACCTGCTTCTGATATGCTCACCAGGCTTCTGTAGTCTTCAATTTTGTTTTCTTCTAGGGATTTCCAGGTTATAGATGCTGAAAAAGATCCAGGTTCTTTGTTTGCTTCCACAAGAATCACTCTGTGTGTTGGAGCTATCATGGCAGCATTTTTGGCAACTGTTATAGCTGTCTGAATGTTGTCCCCTAAAAAAATTAAAGGAAGTGTTATTTAAACTTTTCTGCAGTGAGGAATTTTTTATTCATTAGCCTGAATTCTGAGTTTTCAAATATATCCAGAAGAATTATTAAAATTTCAGTGTCTGTGCATAAGAAAGTTTTTGATAAAAATTAAAACTTTGCAGATAAGGTGTGTCTCAATCAATAAACATATTTTCATTTGGAAAAGAAACATTTTGACCTGGACATAAATTATGTTCATATTCAGCTTGAAGAAATCTATATGGGGAATATGGTTCTAGGTTATTTGTTTCAAACAAAAAACAGTGAGGGTTTCAGTGCTAAGTTGCTGCTGGTATCCTTGATTATCATTGATTGGCTATGGTGTATGTAGGCAGAAAGAGGTGAGGCCCAAGTCTTTGGACAATGAAAAAACTTGGGGTTATTTTATCCAAACCCTGGTTTGGATTTGGATAGAATAGCCCTTCAAGAAAAAATTTCAAAAAAGAAAAGGATAAAAAAGGATAAAAAATAAAGGACAGACAGGCACTGGTAGGCATGAGTTACAGATGTTTAAAGGTTTGGAGATTTGTCCTGAGCACGCATGCCCCATTTCTGCTCATTTCAGGAGGCCCTATAAAATAGGGAGCTTCCATTACAAGCTTCTATTAGAATCAGACATGGCCTGGTGAAGTTGCCAGGAACAACATGGTTCACTTTATGTCATTATTAAAACACAGATGTTTCTTGGATTAAATAACCATGCCTTCCTACCAGTGGTGTTGACAAGAGCAGACTTTTCACTTAAACATTGGTGGACTCCCTGTCTGCGCCAGTGACCACAAAAATAAGAAATAATCCACCATTTTTAGATACCTGTGACCATAACACTCCTGATGCGGGCAGCAGTGAGCTCTTCCAGAACAGGCTTTGTCTCCCTCTTTAATCGATTCTCCATTATCAGCAGACCCAGAAATGTCAGATCAGATTCCACCTCCTCCCTAACAGTCAAAAAGAGACGAACAGATTTAATAATTTATTTTACCTTTATCACCATTGGATTTGGTGATAGCCAGTTATAGCTATCAACCATCCCACCTAACTCAAAAGAATTAAAATAATTTGTCTATTTTCTGCAGTCCCAGGTTGTCTGTCTTTTGTGATGCTATTTCAATACCAGCAGTGCCAGGACCCTGAATTTTCTGCAGGACTCCCAAACTGTGGTGGTCTGATTTGGAAAGTCCCTGCACACTAGACCTTCTCATTTGAGCACTGCACAACAAATAAACACACCTTAGTTATTGTGTCTGCTCCTCTTGACAGTTGAACCTAAGCAAACAGCCTGTGGCAATTTGGAAATTGTTCCCCCATTTCCTCCAATTCTGTTTTCCCCTACATTTTTCTTTTCACCTGTGCTATTGCTTTTTTGCAATTGAACATATGCAGTTGAGAACAGAACTGAGTAGATACCCTACCCCTGAGTCATGAACTAGAGGTCTCTAAGGGACAGATTCTCTGAAGAATATGAAAATAAGAAAAGCTTTCAAACACTCATTTTAGACACCAAGGAGATGCCAAACACTTGCATGGCAGTCAGAGTAGCTGAGTCAGGTGGTGCCTGAATGTTTGACCAGCAGCTTTCTCCTTTCTCTTGGCAGCATAAACATCACACATGCTGTAACTGCATACACAACTGCAAAATCTGGGCCATTTCACACACATTTGCTCATTGGGTTGGATAGGCTTGTTATGACACCACTCACAAGAGTGAAATAACCACTTGCACTCCGCCTCAGCATCATTGGCCCTTCCAGCAAAGCAAAAAACCCTGTGAAAAAGCAAGTGACCCTCACCTGATTTAGGACCTACAGCTAGTAAAGAGAGAGGAGAGCAGATCCTCGGTAACTGCAGATATTTCAGAAATGCTGTTTCTGGAGTATCACATACAAAAGCAAAAGAGTTTTAGGAAAAAAACTATATGAATTCATGTGTAAAGGGCTCTTTTGTGAGGCTCAGTTTTTACAAAACTAAAACCACAAGCATAATAGAAGAGTTTGCTGACTTCCTTAGTAACTAAACAGAGCTAAAGCTAGAAAGCTAAATGATTGAACTAACAGAAGATAGTTTGCTCTGAGTTTTATGGTTCTCAGAATCCTAACCCTAGGCATAACTCTAACCCTAGGCAGTGCAGTAAAAGCAACCTTGGGCTAAGAGTGCTTCAAAGGAGAAAGCTGAGGAGAAAACCATATTTTTCCAGTTCTGTCTTCCTGTTGGCATGCCTTTGGTAGCTGCAGTGTGCCTGGACCTCTGGGCTTTGTGGTTTTCAGAACCCTAACCCTAGGCATAACCCTAACCCTAGGCACAGCAGTAAAAGCAACCTTGGGCTAAGGCTGGTTCCAAGGAGAAAGCTGTGGAGGAAACCATCTTTTGGCAGTTCTGTGTTCCCCTTGGCATGCCTTTTGCTGCCTTTGACTGGGCTGGAGAACAGTAATGGGAGTCATCTGCTGCCTTTGCTTAATGGAAGAGTGTGGATAATAAAAAATTTTGAAAAGACTTCTCTTCAACTGAAAGCATGGGTAAATCTGCAAGGAGAGTAGTGTAAATGATGGAATGAACAGGGGGCATGTGCTAGTCTTCAAAGTGTAATAGGAATATGCTTCCTCTGTAAATCCAGAGTTGAAAAAGTTAAGAAACGTGCAAGGATTCTGTGCATGTGCCATAGGACTGCCCTCTATCTAGTCCCAGACCTACATCCAGATTTAAATCAGATTCCCACTGGCCTGAATCCAACAAAACTCTGTACTATGACTCTGCTCTTGGCAGGGGTGATGTGGTGATGGTGCTTTGTGAGGCACCCTTGGCCCAGGCTGAACATGGCCAGGAGCAGAGTTTTTATGGCTTACCTTGTTAGAGCAGCAGGAAGCTTCCCTGCCTGCAGAGATTTACAGGCCAGGCCAATGACACGAAAGCCCTGTGCTGTGTAGAGCAGGAGCTTGCTTTCAAAGTTGGATGGGACTGTGCAAAAGAGGAAAACACAGTTTATCACAGCATTTAACTGCTTTCTAATTAAAGGAACTCTTGGAGCACGGAAGGTTTATGTCCCAGAGGACTTTTACACCTGAAGTCTACTTATAGGCCAAGCACATCAAAGAAAGGAGCTTTTGTTCAAACAAAGAAAATCTTGTTCAATAACAAAATCTTTGCCTCTCCTTTATAATTTTGAATTTTGGTTCTAAATTGCAAAGATGTACCTTCTTCCAGCGTGTCATGAACGATATGTGCTTCTCTAAGATGCCCTCCCAAGGTTTGGAGGAAGAAACCCAACTTTTCTGAGGGAGGTGGACCTGTAGACAACTTTTCCAAATATCTATTCTGCCAGAGACTGTACATCATGTATAGGAGTTGGTAGTTACTTTTATCTCTTATCTCTCTCAAAATCCTTCTTTGTTGAGAAGGGCTATGTGAGAGCTTAGCCTTAGACTTGGAATACAACAGAGACACTTCTCAGGCTTTAGTATAAAGTCTTAGACATAAATCTCATTTTGGCCTTCTATCTCATTGCCCCATCCAAAGTCACTTATACATGTATGTTTCTAGGATGCATTTATAAATGTTTGTTACCTGTTTCTGCTCTACACAGCATGGCTACTGTTTCAGGAGCCCCTTTTATGAAGGCCTGTGGGTCCCCACCAATTTCCTGGGCAATGACAGACATTCTTTGCAAGGCTGAAGAAAATGGGAACTGATGTAAAATGGTAATTCCTTCCACAGGAGCCTAGGAGAAAAGCAAGTGGATTACATACTGTAGCAAGGATTTCAAACTCAGACTGAAGGATTTTAGGTCTGTCCTTTGGGCCATAGTAAGAAGCTAACCATGTATAATGGGCTAATTTGTTACCCTTAGACAAAAAATACTGGTACATAAAGATGAGATTAAATTTGTGCAGAAATCTTTAGCTTAAGCAATAGGAAAAGTTCATTGACAATTTTATCAGACTACAAAATGTAACTTACTGAAAGTTCTGTTTCTTTTAATATGACTCTGTTAGGTCTCACACTGGTCTTGCAAAGGGAAAATGGCTGTGAGAAAGCATCTTACCAGAGTATGTCACCAGTAAGGGTCTGACATCAGCCACCAGACTCCACCGCACTCCCCACTCAGCTGAGCTCAGACTGAGTCTCAAGCCATGAGGACAGGCACATCCCTGAGCTGGACAATCTCTAACCCAGCATCCCCCTGTTTCTCGTGCAAGCAGCAAGCTCCCCCAGGCGTCTGGAATCAGACAGAGCAAGGCAATCGCTCTGCAGGCAGTACAGGAAGGACAAAGTGGGGAAGAGTTCTCCTGGACAAGGACACCCAAGCTTTCCTATACTGAAAGGTAACCCTCACACCAACTGTCTAACTTGACTGTGGATGTGAATCTTGAGAGTAACTTACAGTGGTGGCTTTAAGTCCAGGTCTAACAACAGTGGCATGTGTGGGTCCTCGACCTTCATTCTGGTGTCCGCTGGAATCATCTATCACCTGTGTATTGAAAGACAAAAATATTTCAGATTGAAACATCAGTACAGCTGAAAGGAACCTCAAGGATCTATTTAGAGCTTTTCCTTGCCTCTAAACAAGGTATCTTGTTCATTCCTGGGAGGGGTCTGTCTGATGTCAAACTAAACACTTCCAATCACGGAAAATCCACTGCCTCTCTTAGCAACCAAGTAGAAAGCCTCAGCAGGTTCACTAAGAAACTGCTGTACCCTTGAACAGCAAATAGACTATGTCCTCTCATTGACAATAAATCCTTTATTAATTACAGCAAAATTAAATAAAGAAACATCTTTAGATATAACATAGACTCAATGAGAAAATGATACACAAGAATTTGTATTAATGTAGAAAGCTCTGCTCTTGAAGTATTCCACAAATCATCTGGATTTTTTTATCATCACAACATAATTTTGAGGAACAAAAATATTTTTGGTGTCAAAATAAATCCAAGTTATTTAACAGAATTCCTGAGATTTCATAACTTTGATAGGTGTCTGGCTAAACCTGAGATGGCAAGGTTATTTACCCACTGTTTGCATAACAGCAAATCACAGTTTTACCCAGTTAGTGGCCTCAAACATTTTCACATCCAGTGGGTCTCCTTGGATCTTGCCCTCCCAAACAATTAATGAGTGACAAACTGCCAGTGCTTTGAACACTGGGCTCCAAGGCAGGCCGTGGTCTGCAGGGAAACGGTAAATATCCTGAAAGCTAAAGCAAAAGAGAACATAAAAGTTACTTTCAGAGAACACCAAACAACATAAGACTAGCAGAAAAAAAATCCTAAACTGGGGGCAGTTAAAATTCCATCCTGAGCCCAGACCACACAGATGGGGACTTGCCCCCATGAACTACTTTTCATACACCTATAAAGGCTGGGATGCACATGCTCAAACCAGGTATGTTATGCCTAGTTAGGGAATCCAATGGGATGGAGAGAGGAACAGATTATTATAAAATATCTTCCTTGAGGCTTGTGCAAAGATTCTTTGAGTTCTGAAGCCGATGTAAGTTTGAGCAACTCTGTGTATTCACACTTCTGGAAATGTAAATGGGCAAAATCAAGGCCACTGAAAGAGCAGAGCATCAATCTTGAGGGTAACAGCAACTTTCTATCATAAAGGTTTGGGGTTACACTGCAGCTTTGAGATCTAACCCAGACTGTCTACTGAACACTGCCCAAACATGCTGTGCCAAATGCTGGCAACAGTGGCTGTATCTTTGCATGTGGAGCAGGACCCCTGGGATAAGGCAAACAATTAATTTTCCAGGGGAAATGGAAGTAAAACTTAAAATCTAAACATGGGAAACTTCAAACTTAACTGCTTAACTGTTCAACAATGACTGTCCTTCAGACTTGGTCCTTTGTCTAGTAGAAGAATTCAATCACTAACCAAATTTAGATGCCATTGGTGTGTCAAGGAGCCTTACCAGCTTCTTTCAGAGGGCAGCAAGCCCCAAAGATCCAGGCCATCTTCTGTTAAGGTGCCAGTCTAAGTTAAAATGTACACTTAAATTAACTTCCCACATGAGAGCTCCAATAGGAATAAAAAACAATACATACTTTAAGAAGTTACTGTCCAGAAAATACCAGCACAGAGCAGAGCAAAAGGACTACCAGACAATTCCTAGATTCCAAGAAAAACAAGAAATTGCCACAGCTTCGTTCAGACAACAAGAACTCAAGTACAGACCACTGGTCATTTTGTTTCTAAAATACAATGGAAATGCTCAATCAAACTCCTGCCTCCCACTCCCAGCATGGCTCCATTACCAATGAGGGCATAACCACCACAGAGCCATTACTTTGTCAAAGCAGACAAGGTTCAGCTGTCCACACATGTTGATCCTCTGTGGGCTGATGCAAAAGATGCCCTTTTTCTTCAACCTCTGCTGGGTATAAATGACTCCAGTTGTCAAGGCAGCTGGCAGAGCTGGTGGGACAGCAATAGTGATAACATCCAAAGCCTTCTTCACCACTTCTCCTGTCTCCTCCTGACATAACAACAAGGACAGTTATCAGGAAGAGAGTGGCAAGGAGCACTGCTTACACAGAGCCCTCTTCATTCCCCTTCTCCTCCACTGCAGGTGCTCCAGGCTGTGCTGTTTTCTGCTCATGGTTCAACACATATTCATCTCCATAAGAAATTAATAGGCTTGATTTAACGAGAGGCTTTAAAGCCTCATCACTGCTTCAGAGCAGCCTCCAGGCCTTCATCCATTCTCCATGCAAACAAACCCACCGGGTTCACAGCCTCCTCCAAAACACATGTGTTCAGACATGCCAGCTAGATCATTACCTCAGTCAAACCCATTTTCCCATGACACAGCACACAGGAATCTGCTGTTTATATGGGCATTCATCCAAATGCCTACAGGCACAGTTCTGAACTCCATGTTAAGGTGACAGGTGAGACATATGGAATGGTGATGAAAAAGAGGGCAGAACATACGAGCTAATGATTTCTTCTGACCTTATGTTCTAGGAGTTGTGAAAGAATTGCTTTTACTTGCAGGAAAAGACATTGAGTAACAGTTACTTTTGTAAAAGCAATCTATAATTTGGAATCTTAGAGGTCAGTGTAAAACTGACTGCCAGGATGCTGAATGTAGACACCATTATTCTGGGCAGTTGATATGAATGCTAAATAATTGAATGCTTTTAAACTGGGGTCCCAGGACTGAGACACTGTAAACTAAAGCAAATTTGCATTTCAGAAGTACTTGCAAACCCTCATGGAGATCTACTATCACTGTTTCTGAACTTGGGACTTTGACCACAAATTATCCTGGATTTAATGTACTGAATTTCTGTCATGTTCTGGTTCTCCCTACATTCATATTTTCTCAGACCACAGAACACACCAGCTTGATCATATTTTGTATCTATTTTATGTTAGAATGAAGTACTTATTACCCTTTACTTATTAGCCTTTAGATAAACCCTAATAGAAGAGAAAGCATTTAGTACATTCCATGATTCAATCTTAAAAGTTTGACAAGACAATTACAGAAGTTGAGATAGCATCAGCATGTATTTACATATTACAATGGGGGAGTTAAAAAAAAAAAAAAAGAAAAGACTGCAAAGCAAACACAATAATATGTTCTTAAATACACTTTCTTTGATATCATAAGGGGCAATAATATTCTGAGCTAATTGTAGATTATTCTCCAGGGGAAAAATTATTCAAAAGCTGAATTACAGAATCAACCTTGCAACTAGTGACTTGGACTTTACACTGGCAGATAATTATCATGGCATGAAATGATTTCTTGAAAGCTTCTGAAAAAGTTCTAAATCAATTAGGATTTAAAATTTGCAGAACTACTGTTTACAGTGCATAACTGTTCTCACATTGACTTTGATGCATGAGAATGAGTGAACTGTCTTAAAAGGGTTTCGAGTGAACCATTTCTCCTGCATTGAGTAACTCACCCCGTTAAGTGCAAATACACACACTGTGTAGATCATTCCAATGGCTGCAAATGCTACGAGGCACATCAGGAACCGGAGGGCATCTCTGTACAGCTTGAAGTTCATGGGTTTAGGGTAGAGAATGGACCTCACCAGATCTCCCTTGGCTGTGTTGAAACCTGGAAAGACAAATTAAAAGCATTCCAAGGGGAAAATATTTTTTTAAAATCTCTGCAAAGAATGGAGGGCTTCAAAATTATTCATATTTTCTGCAACTTATGAAGGAAGGCCCAGGTGTTTCATTTTAGTGTATGTGACCTTATCTGCAGAATATAGAAAAGAGTTTTTCTTTGTCTTAGGGTGAACGATTTTTTCAATATCTTAGAAGCAAAGAAAAATTCCTCTTTGTAATTACATGCTGGTAGTTTTTGTAGAAGTTTTGTCAAGCAAAAAGAAGCAATGCATAATAACTTAGCCCAGCCCAGAATCATGATTCTCCATCTGTCTGTTGTAAATATGGATTAGTGCCTTTAACTGAATGTGATTTGATACTTTGTCAGAATGTTCCACTGAAAAAATCATGGAAGGAAAAGTGAACTCAAGTGTTGACTGACCAGTCCGCAGCACCACAGCTTTCACTACTCCTGTGTCATCTGCCTTGGTCTGGATGACCTCTGTTCCACACAAGAGGACATGTTTTCTGTAATCCTCTGCACAGTACACTCTCCAGGGCTGGAAATTATCAGCTCGGGGTAGGTGGATCTTTGTTACAGGAATACTTTCTCCTAGGGAAGATTAGCTCAGATGAGGAAAAGTGCAGTACACTTAATAACAGCCTGCTGACTTTCAAATAAGTACCTAGACATCTAGGTGGTAAGTTAATGCCACCACCAGTATTAGTGGTGGTATTAGAGAATACCATCTAGAGAAACCAGTTTACAGAATTTTTACTTTTATATTTTGACACCTGCAGAGTGAATAGAGCTTAAAGCCTAGCAAACAAACAGACTGCCAAAGAGTTTTCCTTTGCATCAGTACAGCAGCTTCATGTAAGTCTGAGAACTGAAAGCGGTCCAAGGACTCCAAACCCTGACTGTAGATGTAGAGACTTGAAAAGAGGCCTGAACTGGTGTTGCATGACTGCCTTTGAATGGCCACAAATTGTTTACCTAATTTCAACCTCACGTGCAGGTCACTACACAATCCCTCAAGCAGATGGGAACATGATATCCCCTATTCTCCCTCTAGTAAAAAGGAGAGCCTTTAGCTCAATTCTTGACAGGTGACAAATACCCTATTTATGTCAAAGCAAACACTAAGGTGAAGAAGAAATATTTTGTGACAGCTGAAGTTTTCTAAATGAAATGTGTTTCTGGAATTTCTCATTTATATGAAATTTCAGAACTGTCAGCTTCAGTTTGATTCAGTCCAAGACCATATTTAAAGACAAGAAATAGAAGTGTGTCCTCCTCCGACACCAAAAATCCTGCTTTCCAGTGACCTCTCCCACCCAGTGTGTCCTCCACTGCTATCACAGGATTGGGAGTGTCTGGAGGGCTGGACAGACACTCCACCTTTGGAGATGTTGCAGCGGTGAGATATCCAGTGAGTGACAGGAACTCCTGCAGCCAGAGTGGACTATGGGCTCTGTGTAGGAACAATTTTGCTTCATATCCATTTTCTTCTCCTGTCCTGATCACTCTGCTTCACTGTCTACTCTTTCCCTTCTAACCAGATCACCTCCTCCTAAATCCTGTACCACATGAAGGTAGGAAAGGATAAATTGCCCTTCCTAAAGTTCATATTATCTGTTTAGACAATTAACAACAATTCAATCTCTATTATATTGAACCAAAACTATCCCCTGCTCGGCCAGCTCTGGACTGTCTCACAGAAAGAAATGCACATGATATCTCCATCTGTCCTGTGTCACTGGCTGAAGCCATAGGACAATGATGGTGTTCATGTGGCAAACCTGGGAGGGATGAGCTGTACCTGTCAGCATGCTTTCATTTACAGTGCACTGCCCACTGACCAGGATGGCATCACAAGGCAAAAGGGATTTGCCCTCTTTCAAAATCAGCATATCTCCAGGAACAAGATGGTGTGATTCCAGCTCTTGGAAACCTGAAAATAACAAGTGAAAATGCAAATTTGTGTTTCATATATTTCTATGTAGCAAGAGGGGAAAATAATACAAGGAGCTAATTGCTGAATAGAATTCCATATAATGGTTGATAAACAAAGGACCACAGTAGGACCTATGTATACAACCTCCAATATTTAAGAAAAGCCTAGGCATCAGTTCCAATTGTAGAATTCCCCCTTATCTACCCAGGATCCCAACCAATGGTTACTATACCATTGCATTGACCTAACTGAAGAACCTTGGATCTAAATTTCTTCATTTGACTTCATCTCTTTGGACTGTGCTCTAGATACCTTGACAATGAACAGACTTTGCATGGAGCAATTATGTGGACTCACAGCCATATAATGGGTATGTTGTTGGCTATGTCAGCACTGCTTTAAGAAAAATTACTTAGTTTTCCTGACAATTTTCAACTAAGGCTGCACTCAATTATTAATATGTTTGATATGCTACAACATATTTCTAAGTCAAATTAACTCTATGTGCAGAAGTGAGTTAACTGAGCTGAGAAACAGAAGATGAAAACCACTTTAGAATAAATCTATTAGTATACATGCTTTATATAAATTGCTATAGGACCAAAGCATATTGAAAAAAAGAAGCATAGAGGAGTCACCTTCCTTATTTCTGCAGACAGTGACCATGACGTTGTTATGAGACTCAACCAGTCTGTGCAGTTTAATGGATTGCTATAAATTAAAGAAGAACACACAAAAGTGTTGCATCTTACTTACATTATGCAATTTGTCCACTAACAATTATTTCCTTTTGTTATTTGTGGTTATGAGAGCCTTCAGAAACTGGGCTCCGGCTCTACCAGGAACTATACAGCCACACAGAGAAAGAAATTCCCCACCCTAATTACGGAGAGCATAACAAAATGTTACCAAGTGAAGCAATGGAATGGGGAAGGGAGGATGTGGGTAAGGTACCAGAAATTATAATGACTAGGAGGCCAGGCCATTGCACCTGCTAGTACACAATGTCAGAGGACTAAACCACTGAGTAAGTCTTGTAGCACTGTGTGCATGTTGTAACATGCTGGCCTGTCCCAGACATTAAAAAGTAAATCTGCCTTGTGGAAAGTGTGAGGTGTCTCACCTTTCTAAGATCATATATGGTCAAAAATATTGAGAGGAGAGACATGAATATGATGGCACTGGCATACTCCATGTAATCTTCAGCAAACCACAGACACACACTGAACAGCTGGAACACGTAAAATGGATTTAGGACCTGTTTGGAGAGACAGCAGTAGTAAAGAGCTGGCCACATTTAAATGGCCCCAATATACTTAAGACAGTCCAACCTGTTAGAAAAGGTCTGGAATAAGAGACATTAAATATTGTGACTTCTGACCCCCTTTGTAATTTTCTTAGTAGTCACTTTAATCAGATTGGACCATCTTCATCTGACAGATGGGACAAATAATATGGGCCAACAGGATATTATTTCAGATATGAATGACTCAGCCCAATCCATGTTTTGTTTGCTTCTAACAAGAAATGTAACAAAGGTGAGAGAAGAGCAGATTGTGCTGTGAGCATGTAGTTCACATACCATAAGCACACTGCCACAAACACTCTGTTTAGGCCACATATAGGCTGTTCCTGTCTGAAAGAGATATTGGTGCTTTGTGTAGTGCTGTGCCCAAAATCATGAGCCCATTGGAGCACTCTGCAGCCATAGGCATGTACCAGGTACTGCCGATCACTTAACCTCTGTTGATTAAGAGACAGCCCTTATCTGGAAGATTTGACCTCCAGTGCAGCTCAAAAACCTTCAATGGTCCTAATAATGCAAATAGAATGATTTCCCAGGACAGAGATACATAGAAATACCAAGCTGACACACAGATGAAGATGGTATGAAGATGGAGGATAGGGAAAAAGGGAGACTGAAGGAATTTTTGATGATTTCACAGAACAGCTTTCAACAGGATTTGAAAAAGAAATGTGCTGGAAGAATGAGTAGTGGGAAATTAAATCAGATATAGAATCAATTATATGTACACATGGCCTCCCAAGCAGCTTAGAATAAAAGCAACATAAATGCTTAACCTCTTTGATGAGTAGTTTCCAAATAGGGATCACTGGAACAGCAATAGTGTTTGGCCCACATATAACTCTCCTGTACAGGATAAAGATACATCACTCACAGATAAAATAGTGACAATGTCACTTGCTCAAGAAAATACAGATTTCAGTAGTCATGAGAGCTTCTTTTGATTCCAGTTTAAAGGCTGGGAGGATATTTTTTCAAGAAAAAATTTAATGTCCCTACAGTGCTTATGTCAGAAAAGATGGCTGTACCAGCAACACTTACTTATGCAGACAAGAGGTGGAACACAACCTATTAGGCAAATGTTTCCATCATACAAGAATTACTTTGAGAGACCATAAACAAAGGAATTCTGCATCTAAAACTAAATGATCCAAACCCAAATAACTTTACAAAAAGTTAAGAATTATTGGAATGTAAGATTTGATATGAGCTAATGTCAGAAGCTGAATTTTCAGTATTCAATCAACTGAAGACTACTTCTCTATCTAGGAGTTTCATAAATACATGTTCTGTAACTTGCTTAATGATACAGTAGTTCATGAGAATAAGTTCATTGACTAGAATGAGTCAATTTGGAGCTCCAGTGAAGAAGCAAACACACAACTTATCTGCACTCTTCCACAGAGACTTTCTCCTACTCCAAATAAAAACTGCTTAGTTACAGGACATATTTCCTGAATAAGAGCAATAACAGTGGTGAATACTGAGACACTTCAAAAAAATTGACAAAGAATAAATATTCTCTAGTCCTTTTCATTCAATATTTACATGTGCGGCTGTTTCATCTAAAATGATGTGCATATTAATAAATATACAAAAAACTCATGGGAAGTGCACCAACAGAAGGAATTTACATCTCTTTGAAATCAATATGTTTAGTGTTCATGTTTTAAAATGAGTACCTGACATTCTGTTCATTGCAGGTGAGACCAGAACCAAATTTATCATGTATAGCTGAGCAGTTGTAGTGGTCTTCTAGGACTCTAAAACAGAAAGGGAGTGTGTTCCTTAGGATATTATTCACAAAGACACTTGACTTCTTCAGAGGCTTGTGCAACCAGTGCAGTGAACTCACCCAATTTTCTGGAACTGTTTTGCATAGACATTCCAGACATAGCGGATTTTTTGTACTTGGATAGTTTTCACCTGTAAAACAAGACAGGGACAACAATGCATGCAACACAGCAAACAAAAATACTCTGAGACTTGTTCACAGAGTTCATCTAGGCATCCTCACTGGGGTCAAATACAGATAAAGGAAGTTTTGTGGGGGCAAAGAGGGAAAGAAGACAGGATTGCATACAATGACACCCTAGTTGAATTATAGATGGGGATCCCCAGTTCGGTGCGGGTTCCAGTAAACTTTACAGATCTTTAGGTCAAGCAAGTACAAAGCAGTGCTCTTTCTGAAAAAAGGAATAATCTTCACTCTGATCTCACAGAATGAATGTAAGAGATCACTGATGTCATGGTGAATGCACAGGCAGCTGAAAAAGACTGTCTTCAGCCAAGAGCTCCCTTGTCTTCTGTCTGGCTTTGGTGAAAGCAGGGGGCTTTGGGCCATTTCCAAGCATGGTGCTGAGTCCTTCAACTAAACAGATGTGCCAATAGACAAGAAAGGCCATCCCAGGATACTGAGTCACTGCTAATGCTGAGCCCTTGTAGAGCAGTTACCCATCAGGAACACATGCTGTCATTTATAGCTTGCAAGAGGAGTCTGTCCTGTCCTGCACAACAATAACAAAGCCTATTAGAGATAATGGCACTTCCTATCAGCTGGCAGAGGGCAGGGCTATACACCTGTACACATGAGTGATAAAGAAATCAGCTCTAGGGAACTCTCCCTGCCCAGTGCAATAAGCATTATTATAGGCCAATGAAATCCAGACTCAGCTCATCCACTGTCTCAAAATGGAGCTATAACAACAGTCATTAACTTGACAAGAGGTCTGAAGTTAGGATTTCATGCAATAGGAACTGAAATATCTTATCTGCAATGCTAAAAACTGGAGTGGGAAGCAAGGGACTCAGTGCCCTGTCAGGTCCTTGGACAGCTCTTGGGCACTACACAGAACTCTGTGCACTTAGGTAGCTTAAATGGCAAAAACACTTTATGATTGACTTACAAGTAGAGGCTTTTGAATTGCTAGGGAAGGATTAAACTGTTCTCTCTTTGATGCTTTGAAATCTGATCTTTTCTATCTAGATGTTTTGATTGATATGAAAGTGGTGTTCAAAGGGCCTATTATTTGAGGCTATATTTGGCTTTTTTATGTTACTAATTTGATCCTCAAAAGAATGTTACAGATCTGTCTCCACTTTCTTCATATTGTGCCAGTTGATTAAAATAGTTGGCACTACACCTTCTTATCTACATTAATATATGTCCACAGTAGAAATAACAACAGCTTTGCTCAGCTGAAGTTAGCTTTATATTGAAAATATTTACTAAAAATTCTTGTAGATATAAAAATAAACTTTAGTAAGTTAGAAATTTATTTCCTGAAAGGAAAAATAACTCTTCTGGATTCCTCAGTGCAGTACTCTAGTATCTATAATCAAGAGCCAGATATTAGCAAATGTATAATTTTGCATTCCTATTGCTCATACAAACGTAATATGTAATGCTAAGCAAGACACATAGCTGAGCTGTCTGGTACATGTTTTAGACATGGAATAATTACATTTACTCAGCTCATGAGGGACATTGAGATCTGCTTGGATCAATCCATCATCTACCTTCTCCACAGTGTCTCACTGGGATCTCAAATCTATGGGACTGGCAGAGACCAGGATACATTTTTGCAAGAAAAGTTAACAGTGACTCATGTTAACCTGACTCTAGCAAAAGCTCTTTAAAGTAGAAATTGGTGCATACAAAGGCAAAGAAGCAAAATGTGTTGATGTGATGATGATTGATATTTCTGGAAATACTGATGTAGCTCAGGTACTTTTCCATTCTATTCCCTATCAGATGCATTCATCCCTGTTTTCATGTTACTGGGGAAGTTGCAATCAGTTCTGCACAGTCTCCTTTCAGACACACAGTCACCCCTAAATTCCCTGATTCCTGTGCCAGGAATGTTTTTTTTTTATTTGGAACTCTGATTCTCGACTGCCAATCCCAGTCTCCTGAAGCTCTCCTACTTACGACATAGGTTTTCTCTCAGAAATAGTGAGAATTCTCATTTCATAACCCTCCTCAGAATAAGAGAGGATTTTTACAGAGGCAAATACAGTTGAGTACAGTTCTCTTCTTTTTCTACAGCTGTAGAAAAAGAACTGTATTCCTCAAGCTTCAAGATTCTCAGCTACATATATTTCACAGCTCACTTTTACTCCATGAAGCATGGCTGAGATTTGCCATCAGCTCCCAGATGCTGCAGAGAATACTTTACTTACTAGCAAACTTGGCTTCATTATGGTTTTACTGAAGATTGAGTCTTCCTCAGTGGCTGGATAGTCTGATCTGCTTTTGATAAATGCAGACACAGAGATCCATGTCACAGTCTTACGAGAATAAGTCCGAAAATCATCCTAAGTGGGTATAGAAGAGAAATGTCACAATTTGCCCCAAACACAGACCAAATTCACTTTCACTTGGATGATTACAGTATGATTACAGTATTACAATTATTACAGTAGCCTTTCTAGAGGACTACTCTGGCTTTTTTTAAGGATTAGCCAACAAAATCCTCCCAACACTTGTGATTTACAGAAAAATCATTAGAATAAGAACAGAACCACTGTCCTGTCAAAATGTGAGTACTGCAAATATTTCAGTGACCACAGGTCTGATGTTTGGCTGATTAGGATGGAATGTGAACACCCAGGTCAAGATCTAAGACAGGCAAACAGCACAGGACAATCTGAGATGCAGTGACCGTGCTGTAAAGGGAAGATCAAAAGGAACACAATGCTGTGCTGCAAAATGGATATTTAGTGCCAGCATCTTACTCACTCCTGAGTTAACACTTCATTGGAAGAAGTGAAGAAGTGTCAACACTTATGGCACCTTAGACAAGCTTTCACCACAGAGTTCATGACCTTCCCAATTTTGATAAAGCAAGCTGAGCATTAGAACTGCCTGATAACAAGGGTTGGTAGTACAGTCTGAGAGATTAGAGCGATTACTGTAGTGAGTAGCCCCATGCTAAGTTTCAGTCCCAAACACTGAACTACATGCATTAAAGCCAACTATGAGACTGACTTACATTCTGTGTGAGAAGTTTTGCAGTTAGGAAACTTTAATAGGAAAAGGGAAGAGTAAAAAAGATTTCTGTACCAAATATGAGTCCTTTGAAATAATTTAATTATTAAAAGAAGAACTTTAATGATGTTTATATATCTTATTTGCCTGCTTTTCTTCTTAAACTGGTCTTTTGAGTAGAATAACTTTATTTTCTGATATTTATCTTTAATTTAAATTTCAGAATTAGTAGACATTGGGATGCAGATTGAGATGGGAACCAGTGAATAACACAGGTGCTCATCATTTGAACTAAACTGAATCAAAATTCAATAACAAAAGTGAGTTAATAGGCTCTTATATTGCAAATGCAGAGATAATGATGACTTAAGAATTAAGGTTTTATGTGAAGCAAAAGATAATTCCAAGGATCAAGCTGATGAGATTACTTGTATCCTCATTAGCGGTAGCCGTCACATTTGAGAACTGATATAATCATAATGTAGCCAAAACAAAACAAAACAAAACTGTCATTTTAACACAAAGAATCATGAAGGAAATCTTAAATTTTCAAACAGAGCCCATTCGAGAAAGCTTCTTGATAACAAGAATATACAATATAATTCAATTCCTGTTTAATTACACAAAGGATCATTTAAAAACTCATTTATTTGAAAAGTGCTTGACATGGCACATCTTTTTAAAATTGCACACAAGAATAGGTAATTAAAAATGCAAATTGAATTGAATATTAAGAAGGGATATTAAGCATAATATGATGTTTTTAATAAAAGAAGAAACATACCCTCAGACTATTAGGATGCAGATTGTTTCATTATAAAGTATTCAACAGGCAGATCTGTGCTTTTCAAAACCTGGGATTTTAACTGCATACTGCTCTGCTCATTTAGGAAGGCAACTCAAACACAGAGGCAGTAAGTGATCCATTTTGTAATTGCAAACATTGAAAATGCCATTGTTCAGGAATCTTTGAAGCAGAACAAATCAAATTTCTGGAAGTAAACCAACTCTGCCAGTTCCTGGAGTATTCAGGCTCAGCTGGGATTCAGACCCAAGTCTCAGTTTACCTCTTTAGTGTTGCAGTAACTTCCATGAAATAAAACCAAGGGTTTGCACATGTTGCAGTGCTTCAGCACAGTCCTCAGCAGGGAGAGAAGGGAGAGACCTGCATCAGGAAACTACTAGCCAAATGTGCCAGCTCTGAAAGCATTAACTTACTGCAGGATTGCAAGCTTATTGGACATGGGGAAATGGAAACATAGAGCCAAGAAAACAAGCAGTGTAGGCTTGGCCTCTTCTTTTTACTGATCCCTCATGACACACTTGGACACTGCTGGGGACACTGCTAGACAAATTTTTAATTTGGCCCAGTAGATAAATTTTGCCAGAAAGGGACATCTTCACCAGAACAGCCAAGTGAGGAAAATGGGATCTGCTGGATACTGCCAAATAAACAGATGCCTTGGGATCTGGAGCACAAGGCTACAATGTAGAAAGCACAGGGATGGTAGAAGGGAGGAGGAAGGACTGAGAACAAACAACAGTCTTGAAACGACAGATATCAGAGGTTTTATCAGCCCAGTGTCTTTCACCTTGTCTGATCAGCTGTTACACTCCATTCCCATCATCATCATCCACATAATTTGTGGGATATTTGGAAGGTCTTTAGATCAACAACAGTATACATAAGATATTATTGAAGGAAACCAGCAATGTAAGATTTCAGCTAACTGGATACTTTACAGTTAGCTCACCTTCCAAATAGCCACTTACTAGGGACTAATTAAAAGATTAACGCAGACACTACCGTTGTTCTAAGCAGAACAATATCCGCTTCTTCCAAGCTGCATCGGATGCAATTCATCCACACATGCCACTCTGGCTTCCAGTAAAACAGCAGCCTCAGAGCCCCACAGGACAAGATGTATCCAGCAATGCACAAGGCCCTTCGACAGCCTTGAGTTTTGTAGCCAAATATGTCCTGTACAGCAAAAAGAAGACAAAAATCATTATTATTTCTCCTAAAGAAATGCCCGGAATACTATACCTTCCTGTCACTCACTGCTCTCCCATAGCTACTGTTAGGTATGGTACTGTGAGAAACAAGCCACAAAACTTGCATTTGGTTACTTTAAGTGTCCTAAGCGTGATTACCAAAAATTTGCATCTTCAAGAGAACTTTTCATCCACCTTCACAAAATCCAGATTGCTGTAGCCTGACCACCATTTTTATGTAGTTGTGAAACTTGGCATGAAACATTGTTTTGTTTGTGCATGAGCAGGAATGATAATAAAATATACAGGTTCAAACTTTTATTCCAAGTCAGGAATTCAGATTTGACCATCAGCTTTTTTAAGGGTCAGACAGCTGAAGAGCTTAAGTACATCTGCACCAGGGGATGGTGAGTGATCAGTGCAGAGCCGCTGCCACAGAAGGACTGCTCCCCTGCTCTAGTAGTGATCTGCAGTAATGCACCTACACTTCAGAGACTCAGCCAGTGTCTCTGCTTGATGCTGAATGACACTGTGTGACCGCACCAGCTGGAGCTGCTGTGCACAACCTGGCACAGACACAGCTTTTGTAACTGTTACCCTCTTCTATGACAGCTCCAGTATCGGGATTTTGGAGCTTGCTGATATGCCATTGGCCTAACATCTAATGACAACAACAACAACAACAACAACAGTAATAATAATAATAACAACTGTTAGGAGGAACATCTAATAAACATTTGCAGAATGCTTTACATAAAGGCCAAAGGAAGCTACTTATTTTAGTTGTATGAGTATGTATTATTATTCCATTTTTAAAGCTGGGGAAATTGTTACAGTGAGGCAAGGTGACTTTTCCAAAACATGTCTGTCAGCATTACATTTTAAGAGCTGCAGGTCTTGGTACCGTGGCCAAATTTCCTCTCAGTACTGCTAGCAGGGACTCAGTAAATGTGAAACAAAATTTATAAAGTGCATTTATAGAAAGATGCAGCCTAAGCTAAGAGGGGAGATTCCATGGCTACAATTACATCTGGTGGCCAGGAGAATTAAGGTTAAGGTTCCTCAATTCTTCTTCTGAGTATGTTTGCAGCAACTGTGCAATCTGCTTCTGAGGATCAGATATCTGTAGCTGCAGATATTGCAAGATCCATTTATAAGGTGAGAAGAAAAGGCAATGTAATTGTAAGGATGACTAATGCATAATTCCTGATTCTGTGCTGGTGTCTTTGCTTGTTATATGAAATGCAGGCCCTGCCCAGTGGTTCCACACGCTGCCTCGGCACACCTGCTTTGTGGCATTCCCCAAAAGACAGACTCTGTCATCCTAGGCAATCTCCAAGAGGTTTCTAAGGGGAAGAAGTTGGCAACTGTGAGGAAAAAGCATGGTAAACAACACAGGAGAGTGGCCTGCACTGCACAGAACCTGGTTATACCACCTGTGAGATGCACACAAAGCATTTCCAAAGGCTTCTATAATTTCTGAACAGACCAAGATAGCAACTCTGCAGCAGATAGAAGGAAGCCCATGGAGGACAGCAGACTTGCTAGGAGATAGTTGGTGTAGCAGTCATGTGCAATTAATATTAACATGCTCCTATAACAAGGTAAAGGTCTTCATTCAACTCTCTCTAGCTGTAACATGACCAAAAAGGTTAAAGAAATAGTGTCAGCACAAGCATATAGAATAATACATAGGACAATGTGAACTTACTCTTCACAGCAAATGCTTACTAGCAGGATCCAGATTGCTTAGTAGCTTGGATCCAGATTTCACCTGTCAGCAAGGCAAAGGATCTCCCAAGGAGACAGAGACACCTAAGGGAAGAACTCTTAAAAGAACACGCCTTTGGACTTCCTTCAGTATATGGCTGGACCTGGAATAACTGGAATAGTATTTTTAAATTGGGATGGGAATGAATATCAGGGTGGGGAAGAACAGGATTGCTGCCATATGCATCTAGCTTCTGTCTGTGAATCACTCCTTTAATTTTCAGTTTTTGTGTCTTACACCCAATGTCTGAGAAGTCAGTAAGGCTGTACTAATAGAATTAAGAGAGAGGGTGGATGCTCTGCATATGATTGGTAGTCATTTGGGATCATCATCTGTTGGCAGTGTTCTTCACTGAAATGTTCAATGGTTTACCAAGTCTGATACAACAACATAACCACAAAACTAGAGAAAACTCTGTATTTCTCTGTATTTTTGCCTAGGAAACCATTCACCAATATATGAAAGTATGTATCTGAGTCCCCTTGTGCCAGCATATGTTTTAAGGCCTTTTTTCCAGAGTAGTTTAAACTCAAAAAGTGATTTGAATCCACAGACTCCAAGACACTCCCCAGAACCAAGCATGCATCAGTATTTCTCATCTTGAAATACAGAAGAGAGGCAAACAAGGAAAAGAGCTCATCTTGAAAGAAAAGACCATGCTTTTTAAGATATCCATTATGCTGGGTGCTGGATCTTGCTGCTTCTCACAAGGGACTTTCCTGAGACAGACATAGAAACAGATAGATAGAGGGATACCACTGAGCTGTTCTGATCCTTCAAGGCCATGATTTGCCATACGAACAGAGGTGTTGGTTCAGATTTGTTGGTTCATGTCTTGATGAGTGTGACATTTCTGAATACAGCTGTTTAGGAGTTCTACAACGAGTAAGCTGGGAAAGAATAAACATTAGATGGTAACTGATGCATCTGGATGTCAATGAAGGAATCTAATGCTAAAGCAAATAATTTCCCATGTTTTGGAAATGTCTGGAGTAGATCACCTGGGCCACATCACTGAGAAGTAAAGCTAGGCAGGGAAATAGACTGAGTTCCAAATTTGACTTGTGCCAAAGTCCCCTGAGCCAGAACCTTTCAAGCTTAACTTCAGTACAGAATGTTCTGTTAGGCTAAGGAGTTTTTTTTTTTTCTGGCCCTGTGCTTTCAGCTGGAAGGATTATAGCAATGAATGCTGCATTCATAAAAAAATTAATACATTAATAACTCCTTGTTGAAGCAGAAACTTCTCACTCATCAGATAAGTCAAAATGGAATTCTTTAGAAGAATTCTTAAAACTACTATCTTCCACAGAAAGGTGAATATTAGACCCATTACAGAGGTATCCACAATGTGCATGAAGAAGGGAGGAACAAGCACATGCATGGTGCAGGTTTGTTTAGCCACATGAACGACTTATAGTAATTGGGCTTTAGAAATTCTTGATTCACTCGGCCTCTGCTAAAAGGATCTCTAAGCAAATGCATGTCTACTATGGCAAACAATACTTTCAAGGCTGGCAGAAATCCTGGTGAGAGGATGCAGTGAGGACATGTCTGTCAGGTTAGTTTTATGTTGTTAAGAAAATAACTTTTGCCGTGTTTCATTTCATTGTGCTGGTGCAGACATCAGAAGAGGATCTGATGAATACAGATTTGTACCTTGACAACTTTTCTAATGCATAAACAAGTTTTTAGAGTTAAATGAGTGCATTTGGCATATAAAACAGTTCACAGCCAAAATTCTGGGTTCTTGAGTGCATCAAACCAGAAGATGGTGGAAAATAAAATGAACATTAGCTGTCTGTAAGACTCCTCATTGAAGGTAACAGCATCTACAGAATAAGCTGGTATACAGTGTTCATTTCATCTCTATAGAATATTTTAAAATAAATTGTAGTGTATAGTAAAATTTTGTCTCCTCATCTGTTAACATCCCTTTTCTCTTGAAACTCACAGCAGTAGAGGAGTGATTGTAACAAAATGGTTTGCCTTGTGAGTGAAGGGTCTGAGAAGGGGCCAGGATTATTGGACAGAAAAAGCTGCCAGACCTGCTCAGATGGCAAACAAGGTTCTTAGCTGCTTTTACAATCACACAAAGCCAACATTCAAGGACTTACCACTCTAGTGTCCAGCAAGTCTTTCTTACTTAAGTTTAGAATAAAAATTGCCTCTAACTGCCAGGTCATCTGCACAGCAGAATTTAAATGCAAATGTCAAACAAATTCAAGCACCTTTTTCTTTGGTGAAAACAAAGCCTGTAGCTACCACCAGGGAATCTAAGCAGTGGCTGTGAATGGTCATATTTCCGGCAACCTCAACATCAGGTACACTATTATGAACAACCTGTTGCTATAACAACAGATAATAGGATTAGACTTGAAAGACTGGCTAAGTTTCACAAGCTATTTAATAACTGAATCTCATTCTTACCAACCAGAACCTGTTTCATCAGAGGTTTGTTCTTGTTCTCTCCAAAACCAATAGCAACATTCACTACTGTTCCATTAGCAACAAGATTGTACCTTTTAGATTTTATTTCAAATTTTAAAGTTACATCTTTCAAATTCAAAGTATATAAAATTCCTGTATCAGATTCCCTTCAGAATTGTGGCATGTCAAAGGAGGCAAACAGCTGCCAAGATGCAGTGGTAAACTGGGGTGCACCAGCTGACTGACTGCAGTTTTCCCATTCCTTCAGCCACAAGCAATGGGAGAACACATGTTTAAGACAGGCTGCTGACAAATCCTTCCCAAAGCAGCAGCCTGTCAAAGTCTATCACAATATTCTGCATTTCAAGACATAAACTTCACACTTTAAGTTTTGTGCAAAGGGAATGATTATTCTCAAGCTCTGCAGAGACAACCATCAAATTGACAGAGAGCATAAAACTGTGGTTGTCCTTCCTCTTCATATTTCACAGTAAATGTAGTTCTTCTCAAAATCTTCAAGCAGATTTTTCTGGAGGGAATTATACTATTAGCCCTCTCTGAGGCAAACTGCTGTGTCCAGAGTTGTCTCACACTACTAAGATCTTTCTGGTACTACAAATGGTTATGGAGAGAGAGTTTATCTCATGCTCTGAATGTGCTTTGCTAAGTTATAGTTGCATAGCAGAAGAGTGAACTTTCATTCAAGCAAATATTCTGCAGAAATTGTAAAGTAATCCCAAAGACACACACAACAATATACAGGTTAGATTTCTTGAGTCAGAATGATTACTCTTAAATCTAGGACTATCTAGCACACAGCTATACCAAGAAATGAAAATACAGAAGAAAGCTTCAAAACATTTCTTCTTATTAGGGTTCCCCAGCTTTCCTCAGCAAAAAAGACAGCTGGTTCAACACAGGGAAGCATTGCACATCCAGAGTTCAAGTGAATTACTTACATGCTTTCAAATTACTTGAACTATTCCACTCTGGAAGAACTGGCACTTGCACAGCATCAGCTGTTATACTATTAGACCAAGAGATCTGATCTTGTTTGGAAAGTCAAGAACTGCTTGTTAATACTTTAGTTCAAGCAGATTAAACTGACTGTTGAAAACAACATCAAAAAATATTTTTCATGGCTTTGAATTTTAAAAAGTAATTCTCTTTACTTCATGTATTCTTCTTCACTCCTCTACTTAAAGAGAGCCTTCTTCTCTTTCTTCACAACTCTCATTTACATACTACTTTATTTTTTCCTTTCACAAAAATACACACATTAGCTGTTCTCTTTTTTCTATACACATTGATTTTTTTATCATCCTCTTACAGTACCTCATACATCCTCAGGGATATCTTCTCTATCTCATACTTTTTTTCTCTCTTACATGTATGTAACAAACATGCACACATTCCTGACTAATTTAGCATAATTTGGCTACAGTTTTAATTGCATTTTCTACTCAAGTGCTTGACAAATCTTTTTTCTTCAATTCCATTTGGAAACCCCGGGTGAATGAGCACTGATCCTACTCACTGCAGGCATGGAGAGCATGGCAACTACCAGACACTCTGGATTCACAGACATTCTCTCTGACTCAACACTGGGCGCACACAGCAGCTGTGCATGGAAAACCTCAGATTCACAGATCCCTGAGCACCAGATTCAGAACACATGGGCTCAGTATGACACTGGTGAGAAACAAAAACATCCTTGGGAAAACTGGCTCCATACAACCACAGCTTGGGTGTCCAGCTGGAAGTGCACAGCTGGAAGTGAACATTCAGGGTACAATAGTGTGACTGTACTCAGCACCAGACAATCCACTTAAACCTAATCAGCTCCAGCTCAATTCTGGCATTGCTAGAGACAGCACCAACAGTGGTGAGAGCACAACAGAGTGTTTATAGTCCTAGAAGGACAGGGCAGGGTGGAGCAGAGGCACAAACCCAGCAGCTGTTTGGAGCTGGGGAGCAGTGGCACATCAGCACCAGGGCTAGAGCCAGGAGCGGGGTGCTGCCAGCAGGTTTAGTAACTGGCTGGCAGAGCCAGTCGGGTTCTGCATTGCACGGAGCTAATTAGTCCCCACCCGCGGAGCCAGTGCCTTGTGCTTCCTGCACTGCTCAGTTCATGCTGCTGGGTGACTCTCTACTGCATTCCCCAGGTTTGCATTACGCAAAATGTGGCATCTCCCCTTCCCTGGATGGCTGAGAGAGCTGTCTGAAAATCTGCATTTTTCTTTGCAAGATAACAGGTATCCACGTTTGCACATGACACAGTCTCTTTCACTAGAACAGGAAGAAAATCTCTCAGTGAGGAGATTTTTAAGACATTTCCAGGATTTCTGAGCGTGAACAGTTGTGTCAACTTGTGACTGTGTTTCAATAGCTTTGCTATTGAAATCCTGCAGCCACTCACAGCAGTGCTCCAGTGGCTCTGCAGCACAGGAATTTTGAGAAGCACTGCATTTACCAGATATACCTAAGAACTGTTGTTGTACAGCTGCATGGTGGATCTGATATCTCCAGCAGAATCTATTAGAGGGATAGAATCCATGTAAATAGCTGCCTCATAACACACAGTAATGCCAAAGCAGCTCAGAAGCACTGCATTCACTTCATTCATGTACTGGCATTACTATTTAAGAGCATTGCCATGCAGGAGACCAGAGATTTTGTGTAAACATAGGACTTATTTCCAGATGTTACAAAATGCATGCAAACACAATTCTCCCTGGGAAACTCTGGAAAGAAATATAGTATTTCAGTATTTAGGAATCCCAGCTTCTGAGATAGTGCTTGCAGTTCAACAGACTGCATTTATCAGTAATTTATGCAAACGTAGCAGGTATTTTTATGCATTGGAGAAAGCCAAGGTTTCCAGTTCTCTAACTGGACCTGATCCTGAAGACCCAGCTGTCAAATGGTTGGGGATGCCAGTCTGGCTCATCCCTCAAGCTCATATTAAACTATCTCCATCTAATATCACATGAATAATCTGTTCAGCCATCATCCCTTGTTGGAGGGAATAACCAGTTAAATCCAATGGACACACCAACCTTATTTTCTTTCTGCTTAAAAAAATATTATATCCCTTTCTGTTATGTTTCTGCCAAGGAAACACTCCAACTAGCAATAACTCAATTTCAGTCTGTAGCATTTTATTGTAGAACACGTGCTATCTTCTGCTTCAAGCTAAGAAAGTTCTAGACAGAGATACAACTCACCATCTCATTCTCTTCTCCCTGGTTAAGCTGCGCATAATGGTTCTTGGCAGGATTTTCCCCCATGAAATGACCCTCTGGAGACTTTCTACAGCACCCTCAGGACAGGTCTTCAGCATAGTGTGCTTGAACTTCTATATTGAGGAAGTGCTCTAAGTACACACCTTCCTTACCATTCTGATGATGTTTGAAGTAGGGAGCTCCTCCCTCTCTGGGGTTAGCAGGTAACACTTTATCCCTCCTCCCTCCATTCTTTTGTTGGAGTTTTGCAATTGTGAGGGCTCATACATAATTCAGTCAAAAATGCAAGAAAGAAAGAGTTCAATCTTACAAGTGTTTTCCACAATGTGACTCCAGAGCATAACTCTGGTAGGTGCAAGCAAGCACTATTGGCACAAAACTTTTAGGGGAGGGCAAGAGGGGAGTATTTTTCTTCAAGAGATTATGGAATCACTGGAGACCAGGAGTGTGTCCAAATAAGAAACACAATAGCCACTGCTGTTGTCAACATTCTTAGCAACCAGTCTGAGCTAAGTGTCCAGCAGAGATCTCCACATATGCTGTAGAAAAAATCAAGCATTGGCACTGTAACAAGGGGCCCCAGTTTGTGCAGGTGCATTTATACAATGATTGTGTGTCAGGATTCAGCCAGGTAGGAACTGTAACCAGGATTTTTATTCATTATTGAGAATATCCGCATAGAATGTCTTCTGACCTCACCATACAGCTTTGAGAAATATTACTGAGGTAATTTATGCACTCCAGGGGAAAACTGGAGTTTCCCACTGATGTCAGTAAGCTGGATGTCTCTGACCTTTAAATCAGAGCCAAAAGGAAGCTGGCAGGAAAACAACACTGAGAGTTTTGCCACCTCTTTTTTGCATTTGCTGATCAGTCTTGTGATTCTTTCCCATTCCACTACCATTTCCTTGTACTTTGCTACTTTTTAAGAAGTTACACAAGAAATATTTTAGGAGTGAGGTCAGGAAAGGCAAACTTGTTCTTCCAGCAAGTATGTTAAGAAAACTAAAACAAACTTCTAGGGTGACTGAAACAGATCAAGAGGTATCAAGTTAGTTCCTATTCCTCAGCATTTTGCTGCCACAAGGCATGGACTTGTACAAGTCCATATCTCAAGTGACAGGAAAGACCACTGCCTATCCTCAAGTGGGCAGGCTCAGAGAAACTGAAACGGAGAAATGCAGGAAACAGAGAAGAGAAAATGAAGGAATTAAGTCACTTAATGCAAAAATATGTGCACCCATGCCCAGTACAGGGATAGATGTGTTTGAAAATGCTGGTGATAAGCACTGGAGGCAAGTTGTTCTGCCTTGACACCTACCACACCCCGAAAAGGAGCCCAGACCAGAGGCTGACCTGACAAGGATATATCTGTACCAAGCTGTGTAAGGGTGAATTATTGCACAAGATCAAGGGGGAAGAAGGTTCTCTCCAGACCCAACTTCAGTGCTACCCTCTCCTTCCTCTCATTGCAACTTGCTCTGAGCCTCTCATCTTGCCATTTTATTCTTCTGAGACCAAGAAAAATGAACTCAAATTATTATATGAGAGTCACAGTATAAACTAAAACTAAAAAGGAACATATTAAATTCCATTTCTGGTAAACCTGATTACACAGGGAAATGAGCATTGCTATCTAGAAGCTGTAACAGACATTAAAGAACTGCAAAGGTGCCTTTTCTTAGGCAAGCTGATGATTTTGAGAAATGACTCATTATTTTGGGAGGTGCTAGGGGTGAAAAACAGGACAGTCACACATGCTTTTTCTGCCTGGTCAGCTTTTGCTGCTTTCCCAAACACCACCCTTGCTCTAGTGTGTAAGTACACTAGTGTCTGTAGCACACTGGGGTGCAGCAGGGGTCCTTGGATGCTCTGGCACAGAGAAGAGAGATGCAGAGCCCCCACCAAAAGCAGCGTCTCCAGGGAAGAATAAAGGCTCATACAATCTTTTTAATATTCATAGTTTTATTCCAGCTCACAGGTGTTCTGCACTCCTAGAGGACACCCTTGTAGAAGTATTTATACCTTCACAACTGAAAACAAAGAAAAAACAGGTTAAAGGTGCAAAACATTCATCACTTCCATAGTGTGACAAGAAAATAGTGACATTTGTTAATTTTCTTAAGCATGTTCACCATCACCTGGAGAAAAAGCAGCCCAAATTGGAACCTTTAGGAGTATGATGCTCTCTACTGTTTGGAGTAAGAATTACATAGTATATATTCATAAAAAGTTATTTGTTATTATGTCCTATGGAGTGTCATAATTCATATTTTTAAATTGAAACTTGCCTTTAAAAAATCATACATAAATTACAAAAATAACTGGTCAAGCTAAAATATAAAAGCAATGTAGGATTTAAAATATAGTCCCTTAAACTTATAATTAAATAGTCACAAAGTAGGCAAGCAAGAGACAAAAACACATGCCTTACCTCAACCCAACTTTTATCCCAGTCCTGAAAATACACTAATGTATTATGTCATCCTTATACAATTTATTTTGCTTTGGAAAATCTCACAGTATAAACAGAAACCTGACCTCTAAAGCACCCCAAATCTCATTTTCTGTTTCTCAGCATATGACACCCAGTTCTGGCCACATTACAGAAAGGAAGCTGTGAATCAACGGGTGACATTCCACAGGAGAGCACAGAGAAGAATGACAAAGGAGTCACAAAATATGGTAGAGGTGCTTAATCTTGTTCTATCTAAGGAAAAGGAGACTGAGAAGAGTCATGGCAACAGCCTTTGAACATGTAACTGGAGAATGCAATATTATCCATGTCCACTGTAGACATGTTGCAAGAAAGATTCAGATCAGGCACAAAGGAAAACTTCCTATTAAAGTCAGCAAGCACTGGCATTGTCAGGTGAACACTCCAATGTCTGTGGTCTTTAGGGACAGGTGTGGCATGCACTGCTCAGAATTGACCTAACCAGAGGTGTGAGCGCAGATGGACTGAGGTGAGGAACTCTTCTGGTGTCACCTCTGCCTCCTGCTTCACTGTGGCCAGAAAAAAACCCCAACAACTCACAGAAGCCCAGTGGGAAACACTTGGCCTCATGTTTTCCAGCTTTCGAGGCAGCGCTGCCACCCATGTCATGCACTTCTCAGGCACAACAACAGCTGGGGGCTCATCAGAATTTTATCTGTAACAGCAGGGAAGCCCTGGTACCACCATCCGGGCTGGGATGCCGAGAGGAGCCGGGGCACAGGGGCGAGGCCCCGAGACGATCACGGGGATGTGGACAGGATCCAGAGCCCCAGCGTGAGGGAACCATGATCCAAGTGTGATGGATCCACGATCCATGAGTGAGGGATCCCTGATCCAAGTGTGAGGGATCCATTATCCATGCATGAGGGATCCCTGATCCAGGTGTGATGGATCCATGACCCATGCGTGAGGGATCCCTGATCCAGGTGTGATGGATCCATGACCCATGCGTGAGGGATCCCTGATCCATGTGTGAGGGATCCATGATTGGAGTGTGAGGGATCCCTGATTTATGTGTGAGGGATCCCTGATCCAAGTATGAGGGATCCCTGATTTATGTGTGAGGGATCCCTGATCTATGTGTGCGGGATCCTGGATCCACGTGTAAGGGATCCCTGCTCTATGTGTGAGAGATCCCTGATCCAAGTATGAGGGATCCCTGACCCACACGTGAGGGATCCCTGATCCAAGTATGAGGGATCCCTGCTCTATGTGTG